TGTCCGCTGCCATCGCCGCCTCCGCCGCCGCCGCCGCCACCGCCGGCCAGCCCTGACGCGACGCCGGGCCCAGCGACGTCAGCCGCCCGCGACGCGCCGGAAGCGGGCCTGGGCGCGTCACGTGACTCGCGAGGGTTGGGCCCAGGCCGCGCCTCCGATTGGAGAGTACCCCTGGGAGGCGGGGCTTGGCGGCAGTTGGCTGATGGCTAGCGGGAGGGGCCGCTATTAGGCAAAGAGGGAAAGCGAGCTCCGGGAGCCAATTAGGAGTTCTGAAGTGTTTGTTGACCTTTGAGAGATGAGGACAGGGCCCACTGAGTATTATCATGGTTGATTTGGTGGGAAACAGATTGCCAAAGCTCAACCCCAGCACTTGGGCAAACTTTTGTAATTACACTACGCAATTTCTTAGATATCCACCCCATTCCACAATAAGAATAGAGCGAATGTTTGCTGTCCCTGTCAACAAACAGCTATTGAGTGGACACTCTGTGGCAGGTGCTGTGTTATTAGTACATTACATGACAACTGCTTTCGCCCAATTGTATTGTTCTCTATTGTATAGGCGATCCTTACAATACAAAAGGTAGCCATTAACACTTGTGTGTGTTGTGCAGGTAAAGAACCTATGGCTAAGTTGATGTGACTTCCCCAAGACTACCCAGGTAATGATGGCAGAACTAGTTTCATTGTATATCTGCCATGTACCAAACTCTGGAGTAGGCACAGGAGAAAGTGTTCCCCACTGTGGAAACCAACTAGTGAACACGTTCAAAGCGATGTTGAGCTGAAAATCTTTTTTCTCTCTCTTCCCAATGTACCACTCTGGATCTCAAGCTTTCTAAATGCAACATTGCATACTAATAACACTTATATTTATCATGCTTTACAGTGTCGAGTTAAAATAGCAAAGTATCTCTTTAAGCTTTAATTATAGTCAGATTTGGTAATTTAAACAACTATATTCACATCCTTTTATTCCAAAGACATTCATTCAGTACTTACTGTGTTACTAATAGCTACTGAGCTAGAGTGAGCATGGCAATACGTAGAAAAGATATAAATAAGACAGTCTGTAGTGGACATTTGTCTTGTATGGGAGTTGCCCAACATCTGAACTCCCAACCCATGTTTGGGAAATTTACCATCATGGTTGTCATTAATGCATTATGCCATATATTTCCAGAGTCTTCTGGATACATGACAGGCTTACCCTTTGTGCCCTCCTTAGAATTATGTGTGGCCATTTGGTTTGCTTTGGCTAATAAAATGAAATTGGAAGTGAGCTTTGTCATGGCTAGCTGGTAATTTTAAAAGGCGCTTCACCCAGATTTCTGTCTCTGGCACAGTGATAAGCAATATTTGAGATGGTGACTGCTCTAGCCACCCAGATTCTAGACAGATCGTGATGAGCCCATAACTCACTGCTAATCTGCAAATGATATGTAAATGTAAGGAGAAAAATTAAAATCTGCCGTTTTAAGCTTTTGAGAGTTTGGGAGTTGTTCGTTACACAGCATAAGCTAACACAAACTGACCGATACATTCACCTTTTGAGTCTTTGGAGGCAGAGTCAACCTCACACTAAGTAAGATGAAAATGTCAGAAACTCACTTCCCTGTTCCCCTTCCAGTTAAAATGCTATTCTCAGCTACATTTATTTGACTCTCACTGAATTCTGTGTATGAGAAGCTGCTAGTGATGTTCAAAATAAGGAACATTTTCTCCAGCAGCAGTGGCAGTGCCAGGGACCAAATTTCTGACTTTCAGGCTAGAGCTAACTAACCGAACCCTGGCAGAACCCATGCTGACCCCCAAGCCAGGAAGTGAAAAAGAAATATCTGTTGCTGACATCACTGAAAATTCGAGATTGTTTGTAATTTAAATAAAATACATATATAAAGGATAATATAGATTCTATCCACTCTCCATTGTTTGTTGAGAATTTGCCAATCTACCCTGAAAATATGATTATCCCATTTTAATTGAGACTTATTAAGGGACAGCTCCAATAACACAACTTGAAAGAAAAAAAAAATGGAAACGAGGTCTTAGGTAAATGATTCCTGGCTTGTGAATTGTACAGCTGAGTATTTTCAATGAACTTAATATCATCCTCTAAAGGACACTTTGAAAATGGAGAGGGGACTTTATTTTTAGTTGTCACATGGTTGGAGTAGGGCACGACTGCAATTTAATGGGACAGACAAGGGCTGCCTAGACATCCTAAGAGGCACAGTACAGTCCCA